CTGGGGCTGTTCCGCCTGGAGAAGAGAAGGCTCTGGGGAGACCTGATATCTGGCTTTCAATATTTAATGTGGAGCTATAGGAAAAAGAGGACAGACTCTTTAGCAGTGTCTGTTGTGACAAGACAAGGGGAAATGGTTTCAAACTTAAAGAGAAGAGATTTAGATTGGATATAAGGAAGAAGATTTTTCCTATAGGAGTGGTGAGGCACTGGAACAGGTTGCCAGACAGGCAATAGAAGCCCCATTCCTGGAGACATTCAGGGTCTGGCTGGATGGGCTCTGAGCACCTGATGGAGCTGTGGGTGTCCCTGTACATTGCAGGGGAGATGGACTTAGTGACCTTTAAAGGTCTCTTCCAACTCAAAAGGTTCTATGGTTTCTACGGGGAGGAGAAAATAAAGTTAAGAATGAAGGATACATCCCCATGATCTAAGAATGTATTCTTTTAACAAGTGCTGAGAACTGAAACATCATAACCTTTCTGAAAAATCCATATCTTGTTGAATACCTTAGATTTCAAGATAGGGACTAATTATTGAGCTGCTATTTACTTTGCTTCAGCTGTCCTTTCTGCTGGAAGCTCCAGCAAAATTTCTAAAAATATTCTGGTAATAGGATTTTGTGTGGCAATTGCTTCTTTGTCTCTTCTAGAGTAGGAGTAGTAAAGGTGATGTCACAGTGGGTCACTATTCTCAAAGCTTTTTCCCAGTCATTTGCAGAACTTCTAGGTGAACAACATATTCACAAAAAATAGTTAAAAATTAGAAGATTTCATTAACATCAATAAAACGTCTCCTAGAATTTTGCAAAAACCTGATTTTTCTTGTTATTTAGAATTTTAAAACCTCAATTATTACTGTTAAGTAGTTGAAGCAATTCGAATGCTTTCCTTAATATATTCTAAGATAAAAACATTGCTCAGATATTTGAGAAAGAAAAAAAGGATAAAAATATAAAGGTAAATTTAGATTCAAATAAATCCCTCCCAGCATTACTAAGTAGCCATCATTCTAAACGCTATATATCTTAGGTCACTAACAAAAAATGAACATATTTCTTTGCCAGTTTGTTACTGTATATCCCTATAACCAGACTGTCTAGGATTAAATCTGAAAACAGAAATCAGATGTGCTGTAGCATTAAATGTTTAGGAAATCCTTTGCCTATGGAGTATTCGTCATTCTATTACGTTAAATTGAGCTGGTCAGATTCTGCTCTTAGGTGAACATCACATCTGTCAACAGAGAGTGTAAGAAGCCTACAACACTGCTGCATTTGGCTCAGCATAAGAAGAGAGGTGGTATTTGAAATACATTTTATCTTTTGAAAGCCATATTTTTTCCCAATAATAAATGTTGAAACAAGGTTCCCTAGGGTTATGCAATTTGTGTTCTTCCCTACTCAGCTAAAGACGATATTAAGGAGCTAAAGTAAGGAGAAATATTGTCAGTTGGCTACAGCAATGTAATGTGCTTGATATCACTCTTCTGGCACTTTGGACACTTTATTTAACATGGAAATCATCACGAACAGACTAGCTGCTGAGTACTTCCAGGTTCAGAGTTTGTTACAAGACAGGATTGTCACATCAGAGGCTCTGTGTGTGCCACCAAGCCGATAAACATGCACTCACTATGGCAGTGGGGAATGGTAGGACTTTAACAGCTAGTAAAAGAGCAGCCCTGAAGGTGGCTGTTGTCCTTATTTGACAGGACAACAGCTGCAAACACCTAAGAGAAAGCAAAAGGTAGAAAGACTGAAGTAAATGGGAATTAAAGCTGCATTGTTTTAATGAAGTAGTTACTTTTTTAGTAACATAATCGTATTCCAATATTAACAGTTTGCCTAACTTTAAAACAGAAATATTAAAAATGCTTGCAAACCTACTCCTGGAGCACGAATTCCTCAAGCATTCTGCTGGAGTGCGAGACAGCGAGGCTCTTAAAAATAAGAGGCTCTATTGAAAAGTACTCCAAAAATCTCAGGTAAAATTAGAAACTGATTTTACTTAGGCAGGCAGAAATCACCACAGCAAGCAAAGATACGACTCTATGAGCAATATTTACTGCCATTATAATGTTCTAAATTTCTTACAGTGTTTACACAGAAATAGAAATTGGACCTGCTCAGATTACCCAAGATGAAATAAGTTATCTGAGGTGCCAGTTTCTTCTCTTAGCCTTTGCAGAGGTGAGGCAAAATAGAAAAACGTTCTAATAAAATATACTAGTTTGCACCCTAAGCATATATGCTGTAGTAACTTGTGGCAAGCACTTTCATCAGCTGATATATTGAAAGAAGTAGTAGCTGTAGGATATCAGATTAGTGCTGAAGTACATTTTTAAGTGGACAACAAATGAGTAAGCAATAAAGGAGCAGTACACATTGCCAAACTTTAAAACATATGCACAAAAGACCCAAAGCAGATCTTTGGAACTCTACAGACTATGCAGAGAAATCCCAGTGGTTTTATCAAAACCTTCTAAAGCATCGTTTCAAAACTCTCTGCAATTCTTCAAAAATTTCAGTACAGAAAATAAAGGTGGGAACCAAAGAACTAACTGCATTTCAACCTTGCTCCCAGATCTCTGTAACCAAACTTTTTTTAGTTTTTGTTTCATTTATTGAACACTAAAACTGATTGTAGTGCAACATTTTACCATCATCAATTTTATTTCTGAAAAATCATGGAACATGGAGACAGCTTTCCTTTAAGATATTTTAATTCAAGTAGTTATCCTCATTACTAGTGAGGGATATTACATTTCAGTCTTTTGAAGGTGTTCAACAGCTTACAGTTTTAACAGCATCAGTTCTGGTATCTCCAAAGCTATCAGTTCAAGCATCAATATTTAAATTAGAAGATGAAATTTCACAGATGAAAATATTAGGATAATTCTATCAGCTGTCATACTGAAATGTGTATACATGTGGAATTATGTACTGTCAGATTGAAACAGTCCATCAGAAAATGTCAGAAGGTATATATAATGACTTGCTTCCCAACTGGATTCCCACAAGAACATTAACTAAAAAATCTTAAGTCCCTTTTTTTTCACAATGCACTTTTGCATTTTTAATCATTTCCAATTCTTCATAGTAGCATTTTCCATTCAGTTATGCAATATAGTGTCACATACATAATATTTTATAAGAGACAGCTTCTGTTATGCTTTGGGATTTCAATTCACAATTGTTTTGATTTATTAGACGATAAACCTTTTCCAATGCTTTTTCTGTTTAAAAAGAGATATGTAAATAACCAATCCAATATGAAAAATGCTAAACAGCTCCTTTGAAATTCTAATGGAGATTGGCTTTGGTTATGTTATCATTCACTGCAGAATCTTTGTGATGATACTTTATCCGGAATGTATAGGAATGTAGCCTGAAAATGCATACATATTTCTATGTTGGTCTGCTGGGACATAAAAATTTCAGTTGGGTGCAGATAGCATGTTAAAGTTGGATTTAGAAACACAAAAAAAGATTATTTTACAGTATCTGGAGCTTATAAATTTTAGTTTAGTATTCAAAAACATTTGCTGTTAAATGCTTTCTTGTCTTTTTTCCTATTGTTGAATGTTTAATTATTTCAGATCTGTTATCTTGCTTCCCAACTCTCAAATCATCACAAGAAACCTTGCTGCAAAGCTTAACTTCAGCTAGTCCTCATTTCCTGCCTCCACACCATTTTCTGCCTATGTTTGCTATATGGCAGGTAAATATCATGGCATGCCTTGATGTCAGCAACCTAGTCTAGATGGAGCTAGGACTAACTGGGCCATGCATCTTGATTCTTGAATTTAGACCACCAGCTCTAACATAAACTCATCTCCTAAGCCACTAATCCTTCCTAATTAATCCACTGTTTTCTCCAATTTCCTAGAGACTCCATCTCTGGTGTATTCTGCTATTTAGCAAACTTTGTTCCACCAGACTTTATTGTATGGGCCATGATCAAGGTTTGTAGGGCTCAAAAGTTCTTTTCTCTTTGACATCACTCCATCACTTTTCCAGGCTTGCCACTCCTTAGAACTATGCCTAGCTTTTCTATCACTTCTAGAAATTCAACATTTCTAGAATGCAGTGAAGGGCTTATCACTTAAAATTTTAAGTGTTAATTGCCTGTTAATGAAAACTTTAATTTCTGGGAGATTAAACTTTTAACTGCTAGGTGTCTAGAAGAGTTCAAGCTCACAACAACTAACACTCACCTGTAGAATATTTTAAAATGCCACTTCTATGGAACAAACCCTACATCCAAGTGTGTGAAAGCCCAGATGCAAGCTCATAGAATCACAGAATCATAGAATGGCTTGGGTTGAAAGGGACCCCAAACATGGCTAAGTATTTCCGAGATTGAGAAAAAAAAAATATGACTGAATTATCAGAATGCATTGAACAAGTAATGGCTAATTTGGGATTAAAGAAAATCTCATTGTTCATTTTAGGAATGTCAAAAGAGGATTCCTCCCCTACCTTTATTTCACCTGCATATGTCCTCATGAATTCTTCTAAAAATGTATACCTTGAGAAAGATATTCAGATTCAGCCTGACCTGCTCCTAAGGAGGGAGACTCTGTTGTGTTCTCACATTGACACATTTACTCTTGATTGCCAGAACTGCTATGTAACCCAATGAACCTTTCTGAACCTCTCAAACAGCACTCAGGACTTGATTTTCACAAATTCATAAGATATACTGAAGAAGAAGAAAAACTGAATTCCTAGTATAGTATAAGCTGTTTGACTACGAACTGAATTGGACTGAATTCTTCAGTCTGCTTTCTAACTTCTAGAATCTGTGGACAAGACATCACAAAAATACGTAAGACACAGCATCCAATCTGTATTCCTTAACAACTTGCCATTGTAGTTGTTCACGTTCAAAATTCCCACCCATTTCCTTAAGCTCTCTTTTATGTCACAAGAACTTTGCAAAGGGCTTGGATATCGTTGCCAAACACAGAATAAAGCATAGTGTCTTTTGCTCTTACCTCCAGAGCCACAATATGAGAAGCTTCTGGCACTCTGATGTTCTGTCAGGTTTTAATGCGAACCCTGGAAGTTCATGGACACGATGCTGTACAATCTGAAGAAGATAAATCACATTTACTTCAAGCCAGCTGACAGCAGTTTAAGCAGCTGCAATCATCAACCACCAAGGGAGTTTCTTCTTTTATCTTACTAAATGCAAAAGTATACCAGGAACTGGTAATATCACTGTACTATCAGGAGTCCTGGTTTTACATAAATATCAGCAAGCAGTAAGTAAATTCTGTTGACGAAATGTAATAAAACAAAGACGGTTTCAAATATGACCATTCCCTGATGTATTCTGTAGCCCCGTCCTACTCACTTATTGCATGCTGCTGAGATTATAAGGTTTGCTTTTATCTGTCAGAAATCAATATTTCAAACATCGGATAAAAGAGGAAATTGAACTGGGAATAGGCTGAAGTGCTGTAAAAACTACAAAGCACAATTATCAAAAAGCACTTAAAGTACTTAATAGGACACACATATAAAAATGCTCAAATTAATGTCAGGGAACTATAATGAGAACTTTTCCTATGCTTTTTGATCCAAATGCAATGTAATTCGAGTGCTGCTTGGTCAGTCAATACAGTTTTCAATTTATATGAAACCCTAAGGATTTCTAGCAATCCATTTGCTAGAACTGAGCCATTACATATGATTGGTTAATATTTCAATTTATTGAAAATACATTATTTTGTGTAAAGTGTTTAAGTTGTTGAGGTTTAACCATTATAAACAGTTATGATAAAAATAGATCTTTGGGTAAACAGCGACTTTACAGTCAAGCTTTTAATAAATACTGGTATAACTAGAAAATTGGATTTTAAAGGGAATAGACATCATAAGGAAAAACCGCAAATATGCAGTGTGAGATGAGAGGGAAGTGGTATTACAACCAATCTTTATCAACATGCATTAAGCTGAGAAAAGACTTTGTAAAATGTTGGAAGCAGTTGTTATTTTATGCAAAAAAGTTTGCTATTAACTTTGCCACCTTCCCCTTACGTTTATATATTCATTTATCATCTTTAATGCTATTGAGCTGGAGGTCCTTACAAAACTCTCCATTCCCGATCTGCAGTGTGTACGTGTCTGAATGCACTTATGAGAGTCTACAGAAAATACATTGTGTGGCCTTATGTAATCTGATACGAAATAAGAGCTGCAATACACAATGGAATTATAGCTATGATTTGAGCAAGCAAGGCCCAAAATAACTAAATAATTGTATCAAACTGTATTTTCTTTACTTTCAGCAAGGAACAACAAGAGCTTATTGGAAAGCTTTTAAGAAAAAAACATTAGGGAAAAATTTTCTTAACACTCACATTTCACTTTCATATGTTAGCCATTACACATTTTTCATAAAAGCAAAACTCAGCACAATCACAATTAAAAGGTGCATCTGATTGGAACTACAGCATTCTCCCTGAGCTTTGAATCAGACTATGGTTTCCATTAACAGACAAAATGTTTCACTAGACCAATATATTCTCATATCCTCCTCACTCAAGTGTTGGGCCTAATCCAGTGCAACTTATTGCTTAACATTCCTACTCTTTTTTATGCTTCTTTCATCCAGACTAAGTCCAAATTCCTTTGTGTCTTCCATTTTTTAGATGCAAAATTTCATTTCAGTCCCTAGAACCTCAATTTGGGTCATAATCTACTGTCTTAAATTCATTCTCCCCATCCTTCATGGTTTTTCATATATCTTCCCCTTTCCCGCTTGTATGCTCATTATTCTTTCCCCAGCTCCCAACCTGATATCTCGATACAACAAACTGCCAACTTAGCATGTCATATCATTCTCTTAATTATCTGTACCATATCTATTTCTACATCTATCATGTATATCTATATCTATATGCTATTTCTGTTTTTCTCATGTTTATTTTATATGAGTTGACCTCCCTATGTCAGTTTTGAAGATTGTCACATCTTCAGATTTCACAGCTTTCCTAAGCACTTGCTTTTACTTTACTTCCATGAGCTAAAAGGATTAAGTGGTGATGCAAATTAAATAATTTTTTAAAAAGGTATTAATATTTCACATAACGTATTATTTCTATCATTCTTTGAACGACATTTTAAATATGTAACCGAAGAACAAAGTATGAACAGCCATGAAAAAATAATACATTTGCATACACAAAAAGAAAAGTGAATATGATATTTTCCAGAAAAAGGACTCCCAGGTCTGGAATGGCGTTACAGGAAGAAGAATGGATAAGGGTTATCATAGTGAGTGATTCCTGTCTCTGTCCAAGAAGTCTTTTGCAACTTCAGATAAATCAGACCCTCATTCTGTGAAACAGTTATAATGTTCTCTCAGATTGTGCAGTTTCAGGTCTGTTTAAGCTGCTTAGCATTTTTTTGATCATATGGGGTGTTAGAATTTAATGCAGCGATGTAGACACTGATCGACTTGTACAATTTGCAGATACAGAATTGAATCATAGAATCACAGAATTGAAGGGGTTGGAAGGGACCTCCAGAGATCATCGAGTCCAACCCCCTGCCAAAGCAGGTTCTCTACACCAGGTAGCACAGGTCGGCATCCAGGCAGGTCTTGAACATCTCCAGAGAAGGAGACTCCACCACCTCCCTGGGCAGCCTGTTCCAGTGCTCCGTCACCTCACTGTAAAGAAGTTCTTGCGCACATTGGTGCAGAACTTCCTATGCTGCAGTTTCCGGCCGTTTCCCCTTGTCCTGTCTCCACTCACCACTGAAAAGAGTCCGGCCTCGCCATTCTGCCCCCCACACCTTAGATATTTATAGACCTGGATCAGGTCCCCTATCAGTCTTCTTTTCTCAAGGCTGAACAGACCCAGTTCACTCAGCCTTTCCTCATAGGGGAGATGCTCCAGGCCCTTCATCATCTTTGTAGCCCTCCGCTGGACTCTTTCCAAGAGATCCCTGTCTTTTTTGTACTGGGGAGCCCAGAACTGGACGCAGTACTCCAGATGAGGTCTTACCAGGGCAGAGTAGAGGGGGAGGATCACCTCCCTCGACTTGCTGGACACGCTCTTTTCAACGCACCCCAGGATGCCATTGGCCCTCTTGGCCACAAGGGCACACTGCTGGCTCATGGCCAACCTGTCGTCCACCAGGACACCCAGGTCCCTCTCTGCAGAGCTCCCTTCCAGCAGCTCATCCCCCAACCTGTACTGGTGCATGCAATTATTCCTCCCCAGATGCAAGACTCTACACTTGCTTCAAAAGGAGTCAAGAACATTTGTGAACTTAGCTGCATGGTATATAGGAAAAATCTATTTCTATAATTCTAGTTTTGTGTATATTAAGTGAACACAAGTAAATTGGAGGAACTGAGAAATAAATCCACAGAGTTTTCATGTACGAAACCAATGTTGACAAGACAAAGAATAAATAGATTAATTCATCTGGACATGATATTTACTTGAATTCTTTCTGATGATGTCTGAAGTTTTTAGATTTCCTGAATCAACAAACAGGGCATGTACCTTTTCAAATAATAAATATTTCCAAACAACAAAATAATAAAATAATACTTTGTTTTAAAAAATGGTCTAAATGAAAACCATACTATGATCTGGTAAGGCAATTGTACTTAAAGCAGTTGTTATACCTTATTGTATAATGCATTTTACAGAAGCTTCCTCTATTGAACTTTATTGTATTTTTTCCTTCAATTATTAAATATAGAGGCTCAACCTCAAAAGCAAATGTACTTGTCTTTACATGCACTTGAATTGTTACTGCCATTTAAAACTAATCAATGTTTTCTTTAGTGCCATAATAGCTTGTTTGCAAAGCAACTCTTTTAGAAAAATTTACACTGCGTTCAGAAAGAAAACATGTTATATATACTAAGAAAGATTCTTCATAAAGAGAAAGGGGATTTGATTCGTACCCAAAAGTTTAGTGCAATGAAACTAACCTGAAGAGCTTAAAAAATTGTGCAAGAAGAGAGTTGTTACACCAGGGTGTTAATATATTCAAGGAAAAATTATGTATTGTATACTATCCTTCCATCTCCACAGTGATTTGAAAGGGCTCCCATTTATGTGGTAAATATATATATATATATATAAATAGATTCTAGAGCTTATTATGTATACGGTTATTTTAGACCTATAGATTTTCATTAATATGAACAGGGAAATGGTTAAAATCTTACTAATACCAGAGTTGAAATACACCTGGAAGTTCAATTGCAAAAAACATAGGACACCAAGGTCTCAACAGTGGTGGAAAGCCCAAGCTGCTTCAGTGAAGTAGCTTCAATATATGCACTGACAGTACAGTTTGACACAAACAGGAAGGTTCACACCACTTTGCTGTGGGAACACAATGGAGGTTTCTAGATTAGTTTGCCTGGACTCCTTCAGAAGGAGTTCAGAGAAACAAAGTTGAGCAAGATGAGTAGCCTGAATGTCTCAAGTTCTGCATTTATTCAACAACCAGAAATCTTAATGAAGGACAAATGAAGCTCGCACAGAACTCACACATGGGTTTTATCATTTCAAATGTAAGTACTAGATCAATAAACACACCAAGTACAGTGCAAGCTATAAAACTTTGGTTCCAGTAGGGTAGCAAGTCTATCACTAGGATGAAAGTTACAAAAGGAAGTTAATGGAGATTGTAATCATTGGACATTAGTAAATAAATGCCTGTGATCACATCTGAGAAACTGATAAAGTTCATCCCATGTATCTTGTTTGGCTTCATGGTGATACTACTATAATTGTGCAATATATTTGGTTCATTCTGTTTGAAACACATTTCAATTTTAAATTGTAATTTTCCATTACAATTCTGTCTCAAGGTGATACCATCTGCCTACATTTCTGAAGTCTCTATGCCTAACTTGTTCTGTGTTTAATGTTGGCAATACTAATAATGGTAGCAAATGATTTACTTCCCAATTCTACCCCTGAAAAGATGCAGCGTCAAGCTGTTCTTCAAAACTTTGGAGGTTTGCATATATTTGTTCCCATCATCCAAGCACTTTTAGCTAACATAACTGCAATGTAAATTGGGTAACTGTAAATTGAGTAACTGCAT